TTCAGATATATACAGATACTTTAGCGATACTCCATGCAGGTAGCTCTTCTCCAACACTCCTATGCTGCAGACAACGAACTAATCAATCAGAAGAAGCTCATCTCGCGAACTGCTGCTAGACAAGTGATCTAGACTTGCTGAACATAGTTGGCTGGTACACTCCGTACTACGCCGTCTTTCTCGACATCTGCCCAACCGTCACCAGCCTCCATGTTGATGAGGACGAATCGATCTCCTTCTGACATGGAATGCTCTGCGTCGCTTTGTGCAGTGTAGTCATACAGTGCTTCGACGTACTTCAACTTCTTGGCGCCACGCTTCGGCGCAACGGCGGGTCCCTTCTTCTTACCGGGAGCGGCAGCCGCGGCAAAGTTGGTGGTTGATGCCGACGATGCAGAGTACGTCGAGTCAGGTCTTGCTGATGAGAACGTAGAAGCAGTGGTAGGTGGTGTCGCGACCGTCATCTCGACATACGCTGCTGGGACAAGACCCTCTTTGAAGCCAGCACGGACTTTCATCCATCCAGAACCATCTGTGGCAGAGTGTTAGCAAAGTGGTGAAAGAGACCTGAGATGTGAGAAGCGTCTAGTACATACCATCGGGTTCTACAATGGTGACATCCGTACCATCTGCAACAGTCAATTCGCCCTCTCCATTCTCTTGATAGGCGTAAAGCATTCTACCCTTCGCTTCTGCAGACTTAGGTGTGGGCGGAGGCATGTCCTCGTCATTCTTGACGTATTGCGTAGGTGGTGGAGCAACTAGCCTGTTTTTCCTGGCACCCGGTACAGTCGGCGCCTTCTTCTCTGGTGGTGGTGGAGTTTCCTCGGCAGTAGGCGACATGCCTCCAGATATTGAGCGATGCGCAGTGGCCGAATAGCCAGAGCTGAGAGTGTTCATGGAGTTTACTGTGTCGCTTCTCCCCAGTGGGGGTAGATTCGTACTAGAGCTCGTCGCGGCGCCATTCGTCGCTGTCACTGCGTGCGCGGCCTTCTGCCTTTCTTCTTTCAACTTCTTCTTCTCCACCTTGGACTGCTCGCCGGGACAGTCGGCGGGAACCTTCATCTCACACTTGCTATGGCACGTATAGCCACAGTCTTGACAATCGTACCCCTTCGCTGACAGACCCCATATCCGATCTCCACATAGATCACAGTTCGTCGGTATCTTGAATGTCTGCGACTTGAAGTTGTGGTTCCTTGCGCCAATGCTCAAGTCACCGACAACTGAAGTTATGGTCGAGACTTCCACCTCGGCGCTGACTTTCTGTCTCTCCACCTCATGCATTTGTTCCTGTATAGCGAAGACAGCGCGAACGATGTCCACTTCATCTCTCTTGTCCTTTCCGTCCCTTATGTTCTGGCGCACGGTTTTGGCGTTCTCAACTTCTTTACGTTTCTTCTCGAGCTCGCGTCGGTACTCCCCCAGTGACGTCTTCGATTTCGTGAGAACGTTGCGCAAAAATACCGTCGCGGAATCGTCGACCGCGATGCTACTGTCGTCTAGCCAAACCGGGCTGGGCTCAAATTGGAAGTCACCGGGCTCCTGGAATGAGCCAGCGTTGTGCCGTACGAACATCATGGAGTCGAGAAGAGGGTTGTTTCGCGGGATCTCGGCAGAGAGATGCTTCAGGTACTCGGTACTTCGCGTGAGTGTTTGGGTTTCGATCTGAGCGGCGAGTGACCATATCGAATTCAGCTTGTTAACCCGTGTTTCCGAAAGATCCTGGAGGCTCTGTAACTGTTAGCCATGCGTCACTGATGTTACGGCTTGACTTACGTCTAGTAGCTCAGGGACGTATTCGTGGTAGTACATCTCCTTTTGCTTGTTGGTTACGTTGATACTGATGAGATAGGTGTTCTGCGGTGGTCAGTGTATGAGGTGTGAGATTTGGCATGCTACGTACTTTGACGTTGCGCATCTCGACCTGCTGCTGTTCGAAAGCATTCCGCGCCTTGGCTTTTCCGTGGTCAAACGCGCCGTCCGCCTTCTTGCGTCGGCTCTCAACCTCCTGGCAGACGCTGTCGTATTTGCCCTTTTGCTTGCGCAACTCGCCATACTGGTTGTCGCGCTCCTTCTCCAGCTTAGCAGCATAGTCTCCGTGCAACTTGCGCAGTTCTTCGGTGCGGGTGCCAAGGACCTTGAGGGGGTCAGCGAGCTGGGTGATGAGAGCGCCAGCAAATTGTTCGTGTTCGGAGGCGCGGGATTCGAGGGTGCTTAATTGAACACCCCATGTGGTCATAGAAGCGCTGTGTGGATGTGTCAGTAACGCCCAAACCTCATGCGACGGCCGTCATACCTCTCGAGCGAGCCTGGAGTAACGGTAGGCGTGTCACCAACACTGAGGCTGCTCTGCTTCTTTGCCTTCTTCTCATAGTACTTCTTCGCAAGCGCGCTGAGTTTTGCCGAGTATTCCTTCTCGATAGCGCTTCGCTCTCGGTAGAACTGCTGGATGTCATCCAGCCAGGAGATGCCGCCGGAGACCTGCAGTCGCGTGTCAGTAACTCGAAGCGCAAGGCACGTAGCTGGCGGCGCATATGTCTGTTCTCCCCCGGCAGTGTATGAGAGTGTGTATGACGTACCCAAGCGTTGACTGTCTTGAAGCCATCCTGTGATCACCCGTCAGCGCATGCTCGGAGGTGCTGCTCCAACTCCGCATACCTTCAGTTCGGCGCCAAACTGGGGCGCAATGTCGACCTCCATGATTGCTGAGATGTGTATGGGTCGTGCACGTGGAGAGAGGGGACTAGGGCCCCAGACATAGAGGGTGAAGGAGTGCTGGGGCGAGGGCGGGAAGGGATACGCGGAGTACACCAGGCGTCTTGGTTACCGGCAGCCCAATTAGTGGGGCAGGAGGAATGGCAACGAGGCGGTGCGTGCCGAGGAGGAAACCCGGGATCTGAGCCGGTGACGCTGGATCTTGGTAATCTTCTGCTCGTACTGTATTATGTGGTGTGGTGAATAGTGGCACACGCCGACTACAATGGCATGCAGGAACAGGGCTATTGAGCGCTTTCACTCGGTCGCGCCTGCACACATGCTCGGGGCCTGTTCATGCGGCCTGCGCGCTAAAGCTGCCTAGCGTCTCAGCCCCGCCAAAGTCGACAACTGGAGCTCTCACAATTTCCAACGCGTCTCTTGTACCTGCAACAACACAGCTACCTCACACTTTGCGCCAAACCACCTTGAGCGAGCAACGACGTTGTATCCATAGCAATCCGCTCCGCTCAGCAAACTCCCGCGACTATCACCCAAGTCGCACCTTCCTCACCTCACCGCCCGCAACGCGACCCGCACTCGCCCACCATGTCGGCGGCAGAAGAAACCCCCATCAAGCAGGAGCCGACCGAGGAGACTCCCGCGCAGGAACCCCAAGAAGCTCCAGAGTCTTCGCTCGAAAAGGCTCAGACCGATGGCAGCGGTCCACCTGGAAACGGCTCTGCTCTGGCTGAGCCTAAGTTCAGTGTCGAGGTCAAGCTCGCCGACCTGCAGGCAGACCCCAACAACCCGCTGTACTCCGTCAAGTCCTTTGAGGAGCTTAATCTGTAAGTGGCCTGCGCTCACTCACCGGTCCAGCTAACAATGTCAGCTCCGAGGAACTCCTCAAGGGCATTCGCAGCATGAACTTCACCCAGCCATCCAAAGTTCAAGAGAAGGCCTTGCCTCTGCTTCTGATGAATCCGCCCACCAACATGATCGCGCAGTCACAGTCTGGAACTGGTAAGACTGCTGCCTTCTCGCTCAACATCCTCTCTCGCGTCGACCTATCGAACCCCGAGCCGCAAGCGCTGGCACTCGCGCCTAGCCGAGAACTCGCCCGTCAGATTCTTGGTGTCATTACACACATGGGTCAGTTCATGGACGGCCTCAAGACTATGGCTGCCATTCCCGACCCGTCGCGAAGGGGACAACAGTTCAATGCACAGATTCTCGTCGGCACACCGGGAACTGTTCAGGACATGCTGAGGCGGCGTCTTATCAACCCAAAGAACATCAAGATTCTGGTTTTGGACGAGGCCGACAACATGTTGGATCAGCAGGGCATGGGCGAGCAATGCACCCGCGTCAAGTCACTCTTGAACAAGGATATCCAGACAGTCCTCTTCTCCGCTACCTTCCCACCCACGGTCATTGCATACGCCAAGCGCTTCGCACCCAACGCAAACACAATTACTCTAGCGCACGAGGAGTTGACCATCGAGGGTATTAAGCAGCTGTACATTGATATCGACAAGGACAATGACAAGTACGCGACATTGCTCAAGTTCTACGGTCTGATGACACAAGCCTCGTCCATCATCTTTGTCAGGACCAGAAGGACTGCTGAGGAGCTCGAGAAGCGCATGGTTGCCGAAGGCCACAAGGTTGCGCAACTCAGTGGTGCCCTGGAAGGCCCTGAGCGTGATCGCATCATCGACCAGTTCCGCTCCGGAGAGGCCAAGGTCCTCATCACCACCAACGTTCTCGCTCGTGGCATCGACGTGCAGTCAGTCACTATGGTTATCAACTACGTAAGTTATGATTCAAAAGAATTTTTACAGGGGGTACTAACTATTCTACCAGGACGTCCCGACCATGGCAAACGGAGTGGACGCAGACCCCGAGACATACCTCCACCGCATTGGTCGTACCGGTCGTTTTGGACGTGTCGGTGTCGCCCTTACTTTTGTACACGACAAGAACAGCTGGACACAGCTGAACTACATCGCAAGCTACTTCAAGACGGACCTAGTTCCCATCGACACATCGGACTGGGACGCGGTCGAAGAACTGATTCAGGGCGTCATCAAGTCATCGCGAGCGGGCAAGACAACGGAGGAGATGAGAGGCTAGGGCGTAATTCAAGGACTATGTGGGGGGAAACAAGGCCTCTGAGCAATAGCGAACACATGACAGGGGCAACGCAGCCGTTGACCTCTACGAAGAGATAAAAGAATCACGTACGATGGAAATGAATCAAAGATACCCAAGCTTAGCAAAGTAAACTAAGTCTTCTCTTTTCAAGTCTCAAACGCCCCCGGCGCCGTGACCACTATAATGATGAGTGAACTGGCTATCAACGCGCCTGCTATGGCGCTGACAATGATGATGCTGCCTCTCGACGCGGGGAACTTGCCCCGTATAACGTAATGCTGTGCCTCGAAGTACCGATGAAACCCTATCAAAAGCATGAGAATAGCAATACCGATAAACGTCGCGCCAAGCGGTTTCCCCAAATGCCGTAGTTTCGCTTGTGGAGAGGTAGTAGAAGATGAATCCGGCGAATTCGCTATCGAAGTGTTCAACCGGAAGAGTTGCGTTATCGCTATGCCGATCGACGCGAAGGAGAGGGATGTACGGAGCCAGGCTAGGAACGTTCGTTCTATTCATCATGTCAGTATTGCCATCTTCAAGTGTTCGCATGCCCATGCACAGGCAGAGAGAGACGAGAGCATAGTCTTACCAAGCGCCAAATGATCCCTAGCAACACTCCCCTTATTATCCAACTCGACACTCCCGTACTTTTCCCAAAACGCGCTCCACCACCCTTTCTCCCGCTGTTCCACGGCTGCTGCTTCTCGCTCTGCACTCCTCGCGCGGTGGTCTACACTCGCATGGCCGTTTAGGCGTCGCTGATCGACGGCGGGTTGTAACGTGCCTACCGTGCCTTCTTGCGGCGCGCCGGAATCCGTGGCGGAGGGCCCTTGCGGTATAGAGGACGCGCCGTTGGGGTCTTGAGATGGGTTCGCCGGTTTAGTCGTTGTGGTGGAGGTGGAGATGGAGTGGTCGCGTGCGCGGATATCGGGAGAGATGGAGTTGTAGTCTTTGGTGTGGGATTGCGAACTCGTTACTATGGGCGAGGTTTCTGAGGCGCCGCTGTGCGTTCGTGGTGGGAGGGCGTCGCGTTCGGAGGTGCGTTTACGGGGGCCGGCGATTTCGGCCATCATTCTCTCCTCTTTTCCGGTTTGGAGTATTTACGAGACTGGTCGATGGTGTGTGAAATGTTCCGGTCGTCCCGTATATGTTCAGTCGTGGTTATGGTTGCTGTAAGGTGCCTTCCGAGGCGTCATCCCGCACCGAGGTGGATCGGGCGAGGTACCGGAGCTCTGGCACGCGACGATCCGTTCCCCGCGGGGTTCACTGTCGCATGCGTCTGTCGATGCATGCTGCCTCAATATTCAGATGCTTGTAGAGTCTCTTGATTAGGCATGTTAGATCTAAAGATGGGCGTAGCGTCATTGCGCCTGGTCGTCACGCAAGACCCGCATCTGCCACTGGCCTATTGGAACGAAGCGTGCTCCGCAGCCCACATAGTCGAGGCTAAACGCTTGGAAACATCTTGGATATATGCATACTAATTCATGCCGCAATGTTGATCGATCAGTAATTTCAAAGTAGAAACTTTCGTAATCCAATTCAAAGATGATGCTGGTATATCTCTTGCCAGCAAGCCTTCTATACCCCTAATACATGACTATTTTCGTACATGCAATGCTCATGATATCAACAGTGTGGCAGTCGGAAACCCCCTCTCGAACGCCGCCCAAGACCGCCAAAGGAAGCAGTCTGCAAATAGATTGTACATTGCCTCGGATCTTCTTACTCGTTGTAGTGGTACACCTACGATCAATGTTAGCAAGCAATGTATGTGTGACAGGATGGAAAATGACTTACAAGATAGTTTGGCAGTCCGAAACTTTCCCAGTTCAGTCGGTTCGCCATCTTGGCAAAACCTTCCGTCTCAATGAGGTTGTAAAAGGCAAACGGTGGGAACATGGCGCCGTCTCGGTGTACCTCCGCCTTGACAAGCAAAGTAGCGCCACCGACTCCGTCGAGCTTGATCTTTGCCTTGGGATCCGCCGATGTGTCGTGCATCTTAGCCATGAGGCTACGGTATGTAGCCATCTCGGCGTACCCTTCGAGCAGAATGTCGTCCTTGCCCATCTTAGCAGCAAGGTCCTTAGCTGTAGGGCTGTCGATCCAGTTGTTGAAGTCGTATTCCCGGATGTCCATGCTCTTCTTATCTTCATTGTAGTATCTCTGGAAGCAGTTGGGGACGATGATGGGCACGTCGTAATCGGCCAGATCCTGGATCAGAGTGGGTGGTGTCTCGACGATGTCTGCGTCCATCCACAGGACCCATGAGGTTGTGGGACCAAGCGTTGTGAACAGAAGCGAATTGCGCGCCTTGGCCATGGCTGCACGTCGCGCCTTCTGATTCTCCATCTTGTGGCGCTCGGCTTCGGTTTGCGACTGGAGGGGGGACTCGGTGTCCTGACGGAGGATGGTGATGGCGGAGAAGCGATTCTTCTTGGATCCAGTTTGCGTCTTGGTGACTTGCGCTTGTAGCGCTGCGTATGCGGCATTGCCCTCCTTTGTCTTTGGTATTATGAAGCCCAGGGAGATGAGGTTGTGTGGGTAGTTGAGCTTGAGCAGGTTGTCCCAGTATTCTTGGTAGAACTTGGCCAATGGGGTGAGGATAAGGACCGTCTCCTCGTTTTCGATTGGCGTGCGCGTGTTGGTCACGTTGTTCATATAGTAATGTACGACGGGCGGCGCGGCCTGTGGAGCATTCGCCTTGGACTTGCGGAACGGTAGCGAGGGTGGCGAGAGGGGGTTCGAGGCTACCTCTCCCCCTCCTTTTCTGGTAATGGACGGCACATCGGTCCCAGAGAAGAAGAAGACGAAGAAGCCGATGCAGAGGATGCCCGCGAGGATTATGGTAATGGGATTCGAGCGTCGGAACGAGCGTGACATGGTGGGTGGACGATTAGGAAGGAAGGCGAACCGCGGCTGCCAAATGGGAGGGGTCTATGAAGGGCGCATCAGAAGCAGAGGCAGGCGGTGGTGATGGTGCGGGCGTGGGTCGGCGCAAGGAGGTGTGTGCGAGACGTGGCCTGGCCGGCGCTCCAAAAAGTGTCAAGGGCGTGTGCAGGCGCCCGCGTGGATGGCAAGCGTCCGGAGGGCTTCCAGGGAGTATAGACGCGTCGGTTGACAGGCTCAATGCTCGGGCTGGCAGGTGACAGGAGTGCTTGCCATGCTACCACGCCCGTTGTCGCGAGATGCGGCTCTGCTTACGTACGCATCTCGTCTCCAGGCCCTGCAGGCATCGCGGGTAGTGCGATCTGCTAGCTGCGGATGGTGCGTCATGACCACCTGCATCTGCATCTTCAACACCACGTCCATGCTTCACTATGGTCAATTGAGCTTCGACAAATGCCTCTACTGGTTGCGCGACAATGGCCACTCTTGAGGCGCGCCGCTGCCGCCGCTCGCCCTCTGCGCTGTCCCTCAGTCATACCGAATAGACGCGCAAACTTCGATCAATTCAAAGCATATCACGCGCCCGTTCGTCGGCACTGCGGCATAATTGTACCACCGTCTGTGGAATCCCATGTAAGGAAATCGCTCCAAACCACTGCCATAATCTAATAACGTCTCCAGCCACACGATCTTGTTCAGCACATCGCTCCTCCACCACTGGACGTCGCCCGCCAAAGGACCTTCTGTGTCTTCTTCGTCACGCCTTCGTATGCGCACTATTTGCTGGACGATGACGCTTTCCTCCGCAACGCTCTTCTGCGCGCTTACGAAAATGCGGCCGACATACCGGACCTCCACATAGATGCACTGTGTGCTGTCGTAGACAAACTCCCCGTCAGCAGGGTTGGGGAGAAGAACCCTACTCAGCCGCCTCTTGCTGGCGCTGGGTTCGAAGGAATATCCTACGCGATTCTCCCGTCCGATGTTTCTGTACCGTCCCACGAACTATCGCCATTGGACAAGAGTGCTATCGATTTCATATTTGCCGAACACAACGTCAAGGACACCGTCTATCGTGACACTTTGCGGTTGCCTCTTGCGAATACTGTCTTCCAGACAGGCTCGCCGTCCACGATGATCCTGTCGACTTGGACCCTGGATGCGAATCGTCAAATGACCCCTGTATCCAAGACCAACGTTTCTCATCATGGAATCCGCTTAGTCAAGCAACAGAAAGACTCAACTCCCGTTCTCCACGTTCCGTTAATTCCACTCACAATGCCCCGCACAGTCAACGGCTGCATGGGCAACATCATCCGCAGGGTTATCGGGCCTGGTGGTAAATCTCTGCAGGCCTCGTCGGAACTTGAGAATGTTGTTCCCAGATTCTTCAAATCGCGAGGACAGCCTGCGCAAGCGACTGTAGCTTGGGCACTAGTGATACCCGATGAGCTGAGGGCCATCATCGCCGCTCGAACAGATGAAATCCTCTCTGGCTTGCCAACAGACAATCAGAGTCCGGGCTCCGAGCACACCAATGCATGGGAGCGTCTATGGCGCAGTGATCCCCCTCTCTATAACACGCTGGTGTCGCAAGCACTTACTGAAGGAGCACGTCTCCATCGAGTCTTGAGTGGTGGAGGCGGATGGGGAAAGAAAGCTGGCTTATTATCGTTGGATCCTGCAGCAGCCAGTCCAGCGGCAGACCCACCAAAGGATGACGATTTTCTCAGCATGATCAGTGATCCCCAAAACTTCGAGTCAACTCTTACACCCGTGGTGCGAGACGGTGACTCGATACAGTTCTTTATCTCTCCGAAATCAGATCTCGAACAGTTGGCTCAAAAGTCCGGTCACAGGGGGACGATCAGATGGGCTACATTCGGGAAAAAGATTAACTGGGGCTGGGAGGTGGGCACTATTCCTAGCACTGTGGACTCGATCCCCGGGGAGTTGTCGCAAGACAGTCAGACCAAAGGAGACAAGATATTGTGTCTTCCTGGCTTTGGTGCACTGAGTGAAGGGGCGATGACGCTCACACAGCACTCTCGGGTAGACGAAGGCATGCCCCACAGCGTCACTACTACGGTCGATGTTCCCTTTTCTCGTTTCCGGACGATGCGTAAAAATGGAGCTACGCCTGATGGAAAGAACGAGGACGAGGACGTAGGTGAGCCTGATGTGGACTCGACCTTCCCATGAATGTGTTCTGATAGCCCAGGTAGTCAAAACATGAGAAAAATACACCGAAATCCGTGCCATCCATTCATACGCAGGTGCCGACTCACAATCTGTCAACTCTGAAAGTACCCAATACGTATCCGTCTCAGCAAGAAGAGCAACCGCGGACCCCTCCGAGACTAACAGTAGCGGAACTGATTCGCAAGCTCAAGATCGAAGGCCAATCTACTTCCGGCCGGCTCCGTGTTCGGACAGCGAACGCAATATTTCGCAGATTCGAGAAGCTCTTCGATAAACAGAAGAGGAAGCATACAGCTGTCATGTCAGAAATTCGACAGCGCCACAGTCTATTGATGGCTGTGAGGTTCAGGACGCTGATGGTTGACGCAGCGGAATTGATGGAAGAGGCTGATTCCGTTCTGGACGACATCAATCGCAAACTTGTGAGAAGGATTCCAGCTAAGGAGAGAGAGAGGCCAAAGGAGGAGAGGCTACAGAGAAACGCAGAAAAGAGGGAGAAGAAGAGAGCTCAAAAGGCTGAAAGAGCGGCACAGAAGGAAGATCGTGCCAGAAAGAAAGACAAGACGACCGCGGTATCACCTACAGCGACGGGAGCGCCAATCCGCAAGTTTACCTCCTACGGAATGTCCACAGCGGTCGAGATCAACGAGAAACTCAAGCCTGCCATCTCTGAAGTCTCCCGCTTAACTGAAGAGGCCAGAGCCATCATGGCTGCCATTCAACACACCAAACCACACATCCGCAGAATGCCCGTCTCAAAGCTGGCAACAGCCCAAGCTTTCAACCAAACGCTGGGCTACGCCGTCCAAGATATCCTCCGTCTCACAGAGGAAGCACGCACTATAATGAGTACCATCCAGCAACGCAAACAACAACACCAACGGCAACGCACTCAGCAGACTCAATGGCGACACCTGCGACGATGGGGCCGCGACACTACAATCGTATCTTTGAAGCCTGATACTTCACTCAAAGTCCTCTTGGACACGGCATACAAAGCGCGCCGAACGTCGATATCCATGATGCGAGCCTTCAAAAAGCGCGTCAGGAGCATCAAAGCTCTCATCCGGCAGCGTAAACATGACCTCCGCAAATTGATGAACGCCAACTCGGGCACCGTGCAGACTCAGCGGCGCAGGCGCATCCGACGCGTCAGTGCGCCTGTACACGTTGTCCGCTACCCATCTAGACGCCGGGCGGTGCAGAATCAGACTGTCCCTGCGTTACAGAAAGGTAAACGGTTTGCGAGGTTTAGAACTGTGATGCAACGGCAGCCGGGATTCAGAACGGTGAACCAGCAACGGCAGTCGGTGATGGAAGAGAGGAAACAGAAGAGGGATGAGCTTGCGGCTACGGTGGCGGGTTGGCTTGGTGGTGGTGGGGGTGCTGGTAGTGATAGAAGTGGTCTTGGGCCGACGGCTGCTGCGGCGGAGAAAGACGACAAGAGGGATGGGAGTGGTGGGCGGAGGCGGCGGAGGTGAAAGGGTAGTGTGTAGCGCCGAGGAAGAGTATAGATGTAGTTACAAGATGATGTATATACAACTATAGGATACAGAAGAGTAGGACAATGTCGATACTCGAGAGAAATATTCCACGTCCGCATACCCCATCCTCATCTTTATGCACTGCATACAAACGATACCCCTCTAGCTCATCTCATCTCACGTCTATTATGTTTGCTAGCGCTGGAGAGGTATAAATACCAGCTTTCCCTCCGCTCCGTCGTCCTTCTCATACCAAACTTTCTTTCTCTTCCTTTCAAAAAGAGACTGTGACACGCTGCTATGTCTTCGGAAAGAATCCAAAGAAAATGCCATGATTGGTGCTGGCTGTCGGAAACAAAAGCTACGGCTGAACAAATTATGTCCTCCCTTCTTCCAAATCTTCCAAAATACAGATGCGAACCCGACATGCGTTTCTCGGGTCGAAATTCGAAGCCGCTGAGTGAATGTCTTTCCGCTGGACTTCTCGAATCTGCACATAAAGGATCTATGGTTGCGCAGCCAGGAGAAAACAAAAAACACTCTAGACAACTTTATGATGGTCGTCCGTCGAGTTTTCTCTCTGCTCAAACTTCTTTCTACAAGAGAATGCAGAAGATGCCATGTCTTCCAAAAAGCCTACGGTCGTTATAATGACCAATCCTGGCTGTCCGAAAACGCTTAGGCCATTCCGATGTGTTTCCGCTCTTCCAATCTTCGAAACAACTCCAAGATCCGCTATGCCTTCCTCGAGTCGAAAGCTGGCATTGTCGTTCTCATCCCCCGTGTTGCCAAATATTCGCATACATGTTACACGGTTGCGCAGCTACAAACAGAGCGACCAGATGTCGATGGCTGTCTTCCTTCCGGCTTTCCCTCTGCTGAACCTTATCTCCTTTATACCAATATTTCTTCCTCTTTTTTCCAAAAAGACGGAAGTGGACAGGCCATGTCTTCCAACAACTCCTTGCCTCTAATGCCATGATCAGTGGTGGCTGTCCAAAACACACACATGGATATCCGATGTCTTTCGGCTCTTCCTATATTCAAAGATTTACCTTGCTGCGATATGTTTTCTCGAGCCAAGTTCTGGTGGTGATACGCCCTTATCAGTCTTTCTGCTGGACTATCCAAACTTCGCACAAGTTGACTTCATGGCTGCGCAGTCAAAAAAGACAGCCTCACGATCGATGGCGGTGCTCTGCCGCGCGTCGCTCTATTCATTGAAATCCGACCCTTACACGTTTCTTTATCTGTGTCTCGGGCATTTTTGCTCTACTAAAATTCGCTTTGAGGTGTTCGATGTCTGCCTCTCCGGCCTTTGCGAGACTTGGGCATTTCTTTAAGAGTACATTCTACAGTGCGCATGGAGTTCTGAAAGCGGCGCGAGCTCCCATGTATGGGCTCAGAGCTCAGATAGTCGAAACGCATGATCACCAAACCCGACTTTCAAAAGTTTGTACCAGAAGACCATGGTGTCTGTGTCTCTTGTAAGATGCCGCATACATGTCTCTGAGCCTGTCCTCCTCCCGGGGAATATAAACATACTGGGCGCCTTCCCCGTTCTTCTCCCTCCTACTACATCTACGGTGGCTTTTTCTAAAATCTTAGATACACCCTGCTCATGGAACCAAACAACAAAATATCACACTATGTCCGGTGCGTGAGCACCCGGCACTCAAATGTGTTACGCTTCTTGTCGAAATCTCCTACCGAAAGCTCCATGACCCAAAACCATTGGCGCAGCGGCGTACTTTGTTTCGAGGAATTGTGTAGACTCAAAGCTGCGTTCACCAAGTTTATGTCTGGCTGACGGACTATAAAACATCCTCTACTTCCTCTCCGACATCCTTCTCTTCACACCCCTCAGAAACACTTGTTTCCAAATTTCGAAACACCTCTACTTATGTGTTTCGAGCCAAAGAAAGAAATGAGTTACAACACGACCATGTTCTTCTCCGGGACTAAAAAAGAGATTGGCAACGTAATATCTTCCGCCGTCTTCCCACTCAAAATCAACGATCACCTGATTGATGGCTTTGGCGAGTCTCCTCCCTCACAACCACACCAAAGACCGAACACAGCGCTAGCCACATGGCCGTACAAAAGGCTCTTCCGTTCATCGTCAATAAGCTTCTCTCCAACCCTCCAGGGGAATTTCCGAAACACCAAAAAATTCCTATCGCCAACCTATGAAAGAGAAAGCGTATTGAACGACTCATGTGCATTTTGCGCGCCTTCCAAGACTACACAAAACAGTTGTCGACTCCTGAGATGTGCGGACGAACTCCACTTTCAAAATTGGAGAAGAAGAGATAACATGGTTCTTTGCCTGCTCTGTCCAAAAAAGGCGAGATAAAACAGTTGAATGTCTGAGAAGCTCGGCTGTGCCAAACTTCTCTGGACCGCCACGCATGAGTTCGAGAAGAAGAGCGGCTCCAAAACCTTAAAGTATCAACGCACATGTGAGAGGGAAGCACCAAGGATAGGCATATAAAAGCCTCTGGATCTTTCTCGAGACTGCTTCTTTTCTTCTTAATACCAGAAAGCTCCACTCGTGTTCTCTTTTACTAAAAATCTCCGTGTATTATTAGATGGAGTGAGAGTGAGGATTTCTGGAAAACGATGAACGGCGTTGGAATGTCCGGCGGATGGCGTACCTCTCCCCGTCATACAAACGAGCCTCGAGCTTGTCGCTGCTATTCTCGATGATGATGATGATGATCATCATTATCATCATCACTCGCCATTTCTTCTACGCTTCCGTTGAGCAGTCCAATAGCTACCACCACGCCGCAATCCGATATTCCATCGATATGAAAATCTGAACTTGGGTTCATGCCCTACGCCGGCGTTAGTATTGGTTTTGGAATGAGTCAGTAGAAGTGTGAAAAGAGACCATTCCGATGAGGACTGATGGCATATGTATCTCGGATTTGAGCTTGGCTTTAAGTACTTCTGTAGCGTTGTGTAGTACTGTGTTCTTGTTGAGAGATCGTGGTTGGCATGTGGAAAGCTAGCGCACTTTGCTATCCGGAGGCTGTGGTTTGTGCAGAAGCGGTCAATAGTGCTTGATCGCATTGCCTTTTAGCGTCTCGATCGCAATGGCAATCACCATACAACCATCACCTCTCAAGTCCGCAAACGCAAAGACAAAAACCAAGAATTAAGTAATCTCATTTCTCGCCCATGCATATCCACCTATAATAAGCCTGTAACCCTCCCAGCGCCAATCAATATCAAAAGAAGCTTGCCATGTATGCATAGCCACCCAGCTTTTGCCCTTTGTAAAACTCCGAGGCTCATGAAGAACGAGAAAACAGGAACAGGAACAGAAACATGGGGTGAGGATATATTCGTTCGACGTTGTGTCCGGCCACTGAGAGCTAGGGAACTCGAGACATGGACCGCACGATCCCTCCCGCTACGAGGATGAAGCAAGCGAGCGTGATGCTGCTACGTATCTCGAGCATGAGGATGCTGGAAAGGATCGTGGACGTGCGAACGAGAGATCGTGTTGTGTTGGTCACTCAAGGTCGAGAATCGACGCAAGGTAGAACCTCTGATCGCGAAACAACCTATAAGTCGACTTTCGAGGACGTGAAGTCCCAGAGCATCTTGACTAGGGAATCGGGTAGGGTGTAGAGGTCGACGTGGAACTCGCCATCTATCATTTGTTAGCACGTGCCTTGCAATGGGAGATGATGGGAACTTACTCTCGACGTCATTCTTAGTGTACGTCTCGCTGGTCTTGTTGTCGTGGACCAAGGTGACGACGTGCAGCAGGTCATCCTCACCCAGCTTCTGCAGTCCATCGGCCAGCTTCTCCATGTCTACGTTCTTGTCTCTCCGGCCCTTCTTCTTGGCGGCGTCCTTGTTGCGCATGCCGTTGGCCTCGGCAGGACCAGACTCGGCGAGGAGGGCGAGGAGCTCAGGCTTGGGGTTGCGGAAAGTCTGCAATGGCGGGTTAGCAATGTTCTGGCTGATGAATAGCACGCGTATGTGGTACTTACAACTTGGTGCTTGGCCTCATAACGCTCCGACTGGAAGTTGAGGTCGTGCTCGAGGGTGTGGTCGCCGCCCTTGCCAACAGCGGACAAGACAATGCTCATGTCGAACTCACCCCAACCCTTCTCATCGATGCGGAACGGCGGCTTCTTGATGACTTTTGGCATGTTAGTGGCAATGCTTGCTGACGGCATACTGCTGAGCGCAGTGTCGGGCGCACTTACTGTGCTTGTTCTTCTCGAATGAAGGATGCAGGTTGTAGACGGCCTTCTCGAAGACGCTGGGCATGACCTCGTTGCCCTGGTCATCCAGCAGCCAGACCTCTATGCTCCATGATCGCATGGGGTATCCCTCAACGGGCGAAGGCTCCGCGCTGTGAATGCGTATTAGCGGCTGGCGACATGTAGACGCGTGAGATGGGCAAGCGCATGCGATTGCGCGCGGATTGTACGTACATGGGCTTCTGGTGAGTGATGAGCTTGACCCATCGCTTGACCTGCGCGGTTATTAGCATTTGCGCGATGGTTTTGAGGGCATCTCCAAGCCGCAACTTACGTCAGGCATCTTGTCTGATTTGCGCCGCGAAGACTGCGTAGACGGGCTGCTGCGAGCGTGATTGGTTCCGGCCTGTCTGGAGAATATATACGCGAGGTGTGTAGAGGCGGTTCACGTCGGGCGCGGTCTGGCGTGTCGGTCTCTTGCGACAAAGCCGGGGCGCGTGTAGTAAAGGCGTGGCTGGTCTCGGGTCGCGAGCTCTGATTTGGCGAGTTAACTGAGAGATGGTCGCGGGGCGGCGGAGACGGAGACTAGTTGCGCTGGCTTGGCGCAAACCATCAAGCTGTAAGAAAAGCTGCACGAGCACGGAAGCCTGCCTGACAGGGGACTAGCCCTCTGCCAGGTGAGAGACGTGATACGACATCGGCACACGTTTGCATTGCAGGTGAGACTGCACGCTATGCAGGGTCAATTTCGCGATTTCTTGAAAGTAAAGC